GAACATTGGCATTCATATTTCATTTAAGATGTAGATGCTTCCTTTCTGAGCAATACTTTGATGTTTATTGGAAAATTTATAGAAAAATTTGGCCTACCTGATAATCTACAGATAGAATACAAATTAATTATTAATGAATTGACAGAAAAAAAATGTTCTTTTCCTAACTTAGATCAAACTTATAAAGAATTAGCACTAATCCTGAAATCAAGGCCCTGGCAGGATGAATAGGAGCACTGAAGGCCACCTCCTGGAGGCACTATTTTACATCGCGGCATGTAAAGGCAATATGCCTAGATGGCCTGTTCCGAGTTCCGAATCCAGCCATAGCCCCCAGCCACATCGCCTTGAGACCTCAAAACGTTTCCAACGTTGCTAGCAGGTCAAAAAAAATGTTCTTTTCCTAACTTAGATCAAAACTTATAAAGAATTAGCACTAATCCTGAAATCAAGGCCCTGGCAGGATGAATAGGAGCGCTGAAGGGTGCACATCTTACTAGTTAACATTATTAGCAAGGAAGATCTACTAAACAGTGTAAAGATACTAAGATATGTAACAGGGTTGATGTTCCAGGAGGGATAAGCCAAATGACAAATGATTTAGGTAAACTAGAAAATGGTCAGAATTGTGGCAACTGACATTTAATGTGGATAAGTGCAAGATAATGCATCTTGGACGTAAAAACCCAAGGGCAGAGTACAGAATATTTGATAGAGTCCTAACCTCAACATATGAGGAAAGGGATTTAGGGGTGATTATTTCTGATGACTTAAAGGTAGGCAGACAATGTAATAGAGCAGCAGGAAATGCTAGCAGAATGCTTGGTTGTATAGGGAGAGGTATTAGCAGTAGAAAGAGGGAAGTGCTCATGCCATTGTACAGAACACTGGTGAGACCTCACTTGGAGTATTGTACACAGTACTGGAGACCGTATCTTCAGAAGGATATTGATACCTTAGAGAGGGTTTAGAGAAGGGCTACTAAACTGGTTCATGGATTGCGGGATAAAACTTACCAGGAAAGGTTAAAGGATCTTAACATGTATAGCTTGGAGGAAAGACGAGACAGGGGGGATATGATAGAAACATTTAAATATATAAAGGGAATCAACACAGTAAAGGAGGAGACTATATTTAAAAGAAGAAAACTACCACAACAAGAGGACATAGTCTTAAATTAGAGGGACAAAGGTTTAAAAATAATATCAGGAAGTATTACTTTACTGAGAGGGTAGTGGATGCATGGAATAGCCTTCCAACTGAAGTGGTAGAGGTTAACACAGTAAAGGAGTTTAAGCATGCGTGGGATAGGCATAAGGCTATCCTAACTATAAGATAAGGCTAGGGACTAATGAAAGTATTTAGAAATTGGGCAGACTAGATGGGCCGAATGGTTCTTATCTGCCGTCACATTCTATGTTTCTATGTAAACATGACAGATATGCATTGTGAAGCTTACTGGTTATGCTAATCTTCAACTAACATAAACATTTCAAGTCACTACCTGCAATGCAAATTATATCCTTCAGTATTGATGTACCATTTCATGTATTTACTGTGATAATGATTTAATCTTATTTCTGTATTGTAACCATACTCTTGTGGCTTGACCCAAAAATAAAGAATTTAAAAATAAAACAGTACTAATTGATTTGGAAAATACATATCTATACAATCCTAGTAGAAGTGGCACTAATGAAACTATGTTATTAATACTTGATGCCTAGGTCCAAGCTAAAAGCAGATGTTATGCTTGCTTGGGAGAGAGATCTAGGGACCCGGTATCACCAGGAGGAATGGCTCAGTTTCATTCCTACTCTAAAAGGAATAACGCAGTGTTCCATTCACTGGGAAAACCACCTTAAAATAATATACAGATGGCAATTGGCACCATATAGAATGAAGAAAATTAGCACACATTTTTCGGGTAATTGCTGGAGAAATTGTGGCTTGGTTGGTCCTCTTTCATATATTCTCCGGTATTGTCCAAAGTTAACAAAATATTGGAAAGACGTTCATAAATTCATTCAAAATGTGAATCCTAACATCTCAGTATTAACCTCAGAATTGGTTTTGTTTAAAAAGTTCCCAAGTTCACTTGAAAAATCATTATTGGACATATTGTCATTGCTGCCACTACAGTTGTTCCCAGACACTGGAGGTCACCTGCCATTCCATCAGTTAAAGAAGATCTCAATTCTATTCTGGAGAATAAAAGTTATGAATTGGCCATTAGACAGCTTTCTCAGTTGCCCGACAATCTTACTTACGAGGGGCGGGGCCGGGCCGCCGGGCCGAGTGGACGCCATTAACATGAGCTCCTGCACTAAGCGGATAAAAAAGGCACTAAAACACTCACCCCAGACTGCCTAACTATGCTATACTCTGCCAGATTCAAACAGAGAACGGCACCAGCTTACCCCCGATACCTGCACGATGCCCACCGCAAGCCAGGCAAGCAGAGAGGGCCGGGACCGGCCTACACGAGGCAGAGCGCCAGAATACCGGCGGCCATTACAGGCAGCACGGCGCTGCGGAGCAGAGAACAGAGGCATCCCGCTATAGACACCTAGACAGGGGGAGATACGCGGCCCGGGGCACGGCCCTGCCCCCCCCCCTTTTTTTTGCCGGCGGGGGATATCCCGGCTTCCAGGTGGAGGCACGGGTCGCAGCGGGAGTCCCCGTGCGGTCCGGATGCCGACCGCCTGCACTGGCACCGGCTGCAAGACACTCAGCCAGCCAGCAACATTGGAGGTACCCGCGGAGGGGCTGAAACACTCACCCGAGGAGGCACCCAGATTGGTCCAAAGGAGACGGAACACAGAGGACTAAACAAGGGAGACTGACTGAGGCACCTCGTACAGGCCCCCCACACTGAGCTCCCGACCACTAGTGGAGCGGGCATCTGAGCCTCTGGGTCTGTGGGGTCCCCGGAGAGCTTTTGTCCCTGATGCCGCGAGCCCGGTGGGGCAGGACCAACGCTGCCCTCCCGACGGACCGGTGGTCGGGGGGGATAGCCACCAGCTCCAAATATGTGGCCGGCACCGGGTGAGACAGCAGAGTGCGCGCTCGAAGTGGACTCACGTGTAGCTGGGGAGGTGCAGGGAGCAGACGACCCGCGGATTTTGTGGTTGGGTCCAAAGGACGGTTCATGCTCCTGAGTGCCCACAGTGCAGCGGAGGGCCCAGCTGGCAAGCGGGGGCCGGCTGGGGAAGGACGAACGGAGGCCTGGCGACCCAGGGACAATATGATGGAGACGCAGTGAGAGACTCCTCACAGACGGCCATGCAGGCCGACATGATGATTCAGCAAGGCATAAAAGTTACTTCATCAAGATGTGCTTTCTTACCTCCATATATGATGTTTATGTTGTTTTATGTCCCGTATATGTTAGCGCCCGTTAAGACATGGGACGCAAGCACTTAATGACATGTTATTTTTATGAACCAAATCGCTAGTATAAATTAATCTGCAGTAGGATACAACATGGGGAGCAGCCGCACCTAGGAGGACTCGCCCTTTATGTTTTTAATACATTATCCCGCTGAAGTCAGGCGTTAATACTATACCCGCTCACTGTTTAAAGATATACATTAATAACTTGAACCAAGTAATTATTTACGCACGGGCCACATGTCGCTCTTAATAATACTGTAATAATTATAAACGGAATAACGGGGGCGTAATGGCTGACCGCATCATAATAGGCGGTATACTACCAGGCCCACACTACACTTAGAAAACACAACGCCCTTTGAGCTACGTAAAGTTCGGTGCTTACTTAATAGCAGACTAGTACTAAATCGTGCCCACTTATTAAATACACAGCGCTCTACTCGCAATACTAACACTTATTACAAAAGTTGGTAGTCCTTACATTGATAACCAGAAACTTCACGAAACATTTCCTGCCGCACATGAACAGTGCGCAGTATTGGAGCTCACATACTGGACACAAAAACAATTATACCATATCACGGCCTGTAAGTTAGTGCTACATATATTAACAACATATTAAATATCTGTGATTTATTTCTGGTTACACGTTTTAGACTCCGTTAGGTCCTTATAGCCTGACCGTTCTGTTAATGCTATAATTTTGCAAGGAATCTCTAAGTGCATAGTACCCGACTTTACAGTGATGACTTAAGTTTCAGATATCTACTTATTCAAGTTTTTCCATAACAAATGCATTATTTAAGCTATCTCCCCTGCGTGGGAAAACTGCTTGTTATATCAACCTTAATAAAAACAGATTTAAAACAATCTTACTTACTATTGGGAAATGTGAGAACAAAAATGTTAAAAAGGAATATAAGCTTTAAATGTTTCTTATGTGGAGAGTTAATATTCATGTTGTTAATCTGCCGTAGTCATGTGACTTATTTTACTTGGTTCTACTACCCAAAGTCGAGATAAAAGGTTTAAGACACCTTTAGAATTTTTATTGATTTTAAAAAAAATTAAATTATTTTATTTTTGCATATAAATAATGTTTTTTCATAGATATTCCATTTATAATTGTTTTAATTACTACTTATTAACGCAATTGTGTGATAGATAAGAGTTATGGGCCATTATACAAATAATAGTATTTAATAAAACCTGTTTATTGTGAAATATTGTTTTTTTGATTATGCAAACATATATTGTGTTGTACGTTCATTGAATATATGCATAGTTTAATTTGTAAGTTGTAGAAATGTTTCTTAATAAACATAATAAAAATGCTGGATTTAAAAACTTCTCCAGGTCCTTTATTATTGATAAAGTCCTACTGGTATTTGTTTGTTCTTGAACTTTATTGATTTGCATAAAGTATCTGTGATGTCATAACGAGTAAACCATCAGTGATGAAAGGCAGCAGACAGGTCATATCACTGTTGTATGTCATTGCAGCAGGTTGCAAACGTTATTGATCGCAAAAATTGTAGAAAAGACAAAAAAAGAAAATATCATAGCACAGCAGGTGCACCTACATTGATAGGGCTTTACAGTCCATGTCGAAATTTGAGATGGAGCGCGAGAGGAAGCACCCCAAAAACTGGAGCTTTAATTACGGAGTGAAAGACCAACCACGGGAACAGTTTAACGTCCGGGATTCTTCACGCCAGATCCATCAACATCTAGCTAAAAAAAAAGACGTTCTGTGCAAGATAAAATGGATGGATCGGAGAGGCAGAACTATCCCCAAAACTGTCAGTCCCAATGTGGAGGAGAGGTGGGAAGAAGGCAAGAGAAGAGAAAGATGCAGAATGTTAACCATGCCAGACAGGTGCCCAAAGATGACCCGCAGTTTGGGAGATCCCAACAGTGTAGAGGGAATAGCACCAAGAATGGTCATTGGCATGAGGTTAAAAGTGGCAGAGGAGAACCTGGCCAAACTCAGGTCAATGAAAGCCCAGTGATTCGCAGTCGTAAACTCAAAAGATGCTGGGAAGGTAAGCTCATTTTTTTCCTCTTCACCTACTGTTTCCGTTTGTCAAACGTGTTTTGTTAGAATTGTTGATGGGTTTTTTAACCTGTTGTACTGCACTGCAGAATATGTCAGCACTATATAAATCATTGTAATTGTTATTGAAGGTCAAGCTGAAGCCAAAGATGGGGACGGTTTCCATCAGAAAAGGAAACGGAATGCAGATATGGATTACAGTCCTCCTAGAATGACATTAGAGGAGCTGGATAAAAAATTGGCAGAATACGACCTACCTACTCAAAGTCTGCCAGTGAAATCAACGGATTTCAACTATCCCCAAAATTGTCAGTCTCAGTTTGGGAGATCCCAACAGATTAGAGGAGATAGCACCAAGGATGGTCGATGTCCAGAAGTTAAAAGGGGCATAGTGGAAGTTGGTCAAACTAAGGCCAATGAAAGCCCAGCGTTTTGCATTCGAAAACGCAAAAGATGCTTGGAAGGTAAACTCGTTTGTTTCCTCTTCACCTACTGTTTCTGTTTGTCAAATGCGTTTTGTTAGAATAGTTTGTCTCTATTTTTTTTTACCTGTTGTACTGCGCTGCAGAATATGTCAGCACTATATAAATCGTTGTAATTGTTATTTAAGGTCAAGCCGAAGCCAAAGATGGGGACGGTTTCCATCACAAAAGAAAACGGAATGCAGATATGGAGTACAGTCCTCCCAGAATGACACTAGAGGAGCTGGATAAAAAACTGGCAGAATACGACCTACCTACTCAAAGTCTGCCAGTGAAATCAACGGACTTCAACTATCCCCAAAATTGTCAGTCTCAGTTTGGGAGATCCCAACAGATTAGAGGGGATAGCACCAAGGATGGTCGATGTCCAGAAGTTAAAAGGGGCAGAGTGGAAGTCATTGGTCAAACTAAGGCCAATGAAAGCCCAGTGTTTCGCAGTCGTAAACGCAAAAGATGCTGGGAAGGTAAACTCGTTTGTTTCTTTCTTCTTTTTTTTTACCCATTGTACTGCGCTGCAGAATATGTCAGCACTATATAAATCGTTGTAATTGTTATTGAAGGTCAAGCTGAAGATGAGGATGGTTTCCAGCCCAAAAGACAACGGGTCGCAGATGTAGATTTCACTTCTCCCAGAATAACACTAGAGGAGCTGGTTAAAAAGCTGTCAGAAATACGTGTTGAAAGCCGGCCAGTTAAATCAATGGACGTCAACCATTCCGGCACACAAGACTCATCTGTTGAAGATATGGAAGTCGATTAGTCGACAGTTCTGAGTTTAGTGCGTAACCCTATAGGTGAAATAACCCCTATTGTGGTGAACTCTGAAAAAAAAAAAAAAAACGATTTGCAAAATAATTAGATTATTAACACACATTATTAGACACAGACAGGTAAACGTATCTACAAAAATGACCACCTTTAAGTATATTGTTATGTGAAGAGAGCCACCTAGTGGTGAAATCAAATGTACTGCTGTCTGTGACTGTCAAAATATTTATTGCAAAAATAAACGTATGGTAAATTTATAATATTACATTGTTTTATTCCTTTTCTTTGTGTCTGAGTCTTTGGTGTAATTTGTAAATATACTGAGAGATTTATTTACTAAACCTGGAACTGCATTTTTGAGCCAGAATAGCTGAATTTAAAATCCGAGCTGAAAATGCTAAGTTGTAGAATATGTCGGCTTTTCTGATCTAATAAAAGGAGGAATCTGCACTCTTATCTGGTCCTGGTGCATCCGGACCTGGGGCTGGCTCACCCCACTCTAATGGTAAAACAATAAATGTAGTCTGGGCACTCATGATTACTTATACACGGCATAGTTTCCAACTGTCCTGTTTTTGCCGGGACAGTCCCAGCAAGCTGGCGTCAGTGCCGGGCAATTTACTATCCCGGGACAGTTTCGGATACTTGCTGGGCCATGGGGTTTTAATATTTTCAGGAGAGAGGTGCTGGGAGAAGCTGGGGGCTGGGGAGAGATGCTGGGAGATCCTGGGGGCTATAGAGAGGTGTTGGGGGCTGCTTGGGCCTGGGCCGGAGGGAGCACTCAGGGTCTTCCTTCCGATTTCCCAGCAGCTTCCCCTGCACACAGGCTCCTGCTCCTCCTCGCGGACGAAGGCTTCTCCCCCACGACGGAAGCTCCATGCCTGCAAGCCCCACCTCCTGCCACCAAACTCCACCCCCACCATGAAGCAGGAGACCTTGCTGCAGTTGGAAGAGGCCAGAAGATGGCTACCTGCTATCCCAGCAACAGCCTCCAGTGCCAGGTAGGCTTGATATACTCAACCTTGTGTGTTTGCATGTGTGCGTGTATGTGTATGTGCCTGCTAGTGAGAAAGCTTGTGTTTGTGTCAGTAAGCTTGTTTGTAGTGAGCTTGCATGTGTGTGTGTCAGTGACCTTGTCTGTAGTGAACTTGTGTCAACTCACCACCACCAGGGCACAGCACCCCTGACACAAAGCACCCCAGAACACAAACAGCACTCTCACACACACACACACACACACCACCTCTCACACACACAAAGCACCCCTCACACACAGAACCCCTGACACAAAGCCCCCCCTCACACACACAGCACTCTCACACACAAACAGCACCCCTCACACACAGCATGTCTGACACACACACACAGCACCCCTCACACACACTCAGCACTCCTCACACACACGCACACACATTTGACTATTTAAACAACCTTTACCCTAAAATTCCAGTTATAAATTTTCTACCAAAATTACATAAAAATCATAAGGAACCACCAGGCAGACCCATTGTGTCTGGAATCAACTCAGTTATGTCAAATCTCTTGTAACATATAGACATCCTACTACAACCCTCAGTTAAACGGATGAGATCTTACCTTAAAGACTCCTTGACCCTTTTACTTTTCAAATTGCTTTTATTATACAAGGTATCAAAATAATTTTGACTAATAACTACTTTTGTTTTTTAGACTCTTTTTATATCCAAAAAAGGGTACAGCTATGGGAATGAGGTTTGCCCCTGGCTATGCATCGACTCTTTATGACCGATTGGGAATCCTCGGCCATTTGGGGGAAGCATGGCTGGCGGGCAAACTTGGTTTCCTATTTCCGTTATATTGAAATCTGTTTTCTTATTTGGCGAGGTTCAGATACAACTCTTAAACAATTTTTAAACTATCTTAACGACAACGACAGAGGCATAATTTTAACTTCAGAGTATAGTAACGTATTAGTTAATTTTTTAGATCTTAACATAATTGGTCTATCCATACTAATAACTTCTTCAAAAAAGTATGTATGTACAAACACCCTAATAGACCAATCCAGTTGCCACTACAAACCCTGTTTAGAAGGCATTCCAAAGAGTCAATTTCTTCACCTTCATCGCAACTGCTCTCAAACTAATGATTTCGAAATCCAATCTACCTCATTAAAAAATAGGTTTATTGAAAAACATTACTCGTTATAAAAACTAGATGCAGCTTTAAACATGGTTAAAAACAAAGAGAGAAGGGAATTATTAGAGTATAAGCCAAAAAGGGATAAAATAGAAGATCCCCAAACGTTACCAATTATTTTGGATTTCAACAAAAAATTAATTATGAAAAAAATAATAAACAAACACTGGCACATACTTAAACAAGATGACCTTCTAAAATATAAAATTCCAGATAGACCAAGTATCATTTTCAGAGGAGCCCCTGGCTTTAAAAGTAAAAAAAAAAAAAAAAAACTATACCAAAAAAGAGATAACAAATACTACATGTTTTTTACCCAAGCTAAAAGGTTTCTTTAAATGTAATAAATGCATTGTATGTAAAACCACAAATCCAATCACTAAATCTAAGACTACCCAGTTCTTTTCCACTAATACAGGTAAATCATATCCGATTAAAGATTTTATTGGATGCAATTCAAAAAACGTTATACACATGTTGGAGTGCCCATGTGGACGCCAATACATAGGCATGACCAAAAGATGTCTGACAATCAGACTAGCAGAACACTGTCGAAATGTTATAAAAGGGTACGATAACCATTCAGTGTCCAAACATTTTGTCAAACACAACAAAGACCCTAAATTGTTAAAATGCATTGGAATAGAAAAATGCAATATCCCTTGGAGAGGTGGAGACATGAGAGAAATGAATTGAATTTTTCAGCTAAAAACTCTCTCTCCACATGGTCTTAATGCAGAATTTGACCTTTTTAATTTGTTATAATAAATGTTTTAAAAATATATTTAGTACTTGTATTACCGTATTTATCGGCGTATAACATGCACCGGCGTATAACACGCACCTCGTTTTAAGAGGGAAATTTCAGGGGAAAAAAACTTAAAGGACCACTATAGTGCCAGGAAAACATACTCGTTTTCCTGGCACTATAGTGCCCTGAGGGTGCCCCCACCCTCAGGGACCCCCTCCCGCCGGGCTCTGGAGAGAGGAAGGAGTTAAACACTTACCTTTCTCCAGCGCCGGGCGGGGAGCTGTACTCCTCCTCTCCTCCTTGCTCGCGACGTCATCGGCAGGAGCCGCGCGCGCATTCAGCCGGTCGCATAGGAAAGCATTTACAATGCTTTCCTATGGACGCTTGCGTGCTCTCACTGTGAAAATCACAGTGAGAAGCACGCAAGCGCCTCTAGTGGCTGTCAATGAGACAGCCACTAGAGGCTTTGGGGGAAGGCTTAACCCATTAATAAACATAGCAGTTTCTCTGAAACTGCTATGTTTATAAAAAAAAAGGGTTAACCCTAGAGGACCTGGCACCCAGACCACTTCATTAAGCTGAAGTGGTCTGGGTGCCTAGAGTGGTCCTTTAAATTTCAAATAAAGAACTTCTTTTCCCCTCCCCCCTCTTATCCCCTTCTTACTCCCCCTCCCCCTCTTCTTACCCCTCTTTCTTACTCCCCCCTCTTCTTACTCCTCCCTCTACCCCCTTCTTCCCCTCTTCTACTCCCCTTTCTACTTCCCCTCCTCCCTCTTTCTTACTTCCTCCCCCTCTTACCCCCTTTTCTACTCCCCTCTTCTACTCCCCTCCCCCCTTTCTTACCCCTCCCTCTTCTTAACCCCTCCCCCTTTTCTTACCCTCTCCCCCCTTTCTTACTCCCCCTCTTCTTACCCCCTCCCTCTTATTACCTCCCTCCCCTTCTTACCCCCTCCCCCTCTTATTCCCCACTCTTCTTACTACTCCCCCTCCCTTCTACCTCCCCTGTAGCGTGGCCGAGCCGCTCTGCCGAGAGGTGGAGACATGAGAGAAATGAATTGGGTTTTTCAGCTAAAAACTCTCTCTCCAGATGGTCTTAATGCAGAATTTGACCTTTTTAATTTGTTATAATAAATGTTTTAAAAATATATTTAGTACTTGTATTAATATTCAGATTTCTAAAAAAAAAAAAAAAAATTTTTTAACTGTAATTATCAAATTTTGTTTTACCTTCTTTTTGTGGTCCTGATAATATCACTTATTAACTATATTCTAATAGTTTTAATTAAGTTCTATTATTTTTCTCTTTTATCTTTTTTATGATTTTTCCATGCCTCCCTCCCTTTCATACTCCGCAACCAAGAAATGGTTTAAATTTTATTCTAACCTGGTCATCAAGAATATTGGAGTATTCACTCACAAAAGAATTCTAGGTGGGGATTATACCACTCACGCTATCATAGTCAGGAGTATATCCTGCTCACCTAAATGTGAGTATAATACCTTTTAAATTTAACATTTATATAAATTTCATACAGAGAGCACTATTTCTGTTTTACCTCTCTCCCTATGCTGAGAAACCTACACTTCTAGCAACTTATCATCAGTTACCACCTACATCCTACCTGTGGGGGATCAATGCCACTGAATGCCAGTTACACCTGAGCTTGTACTAGCTCTCTAATAGGTGAGTAGGAATACTACTGCTATTAAGTTCCCTTTTGCTTGCCTGATACATATTACACTATTGGAGTTTCTTCTTTCATTTGCATGGACTTTGAATAATCCCACTATGTCAGGACTCCTACATATACAGATCCACATCATACCGAAGTACCTCAAATAAATCGGACCTTCATTTATACATCTTAATACCTGGACTATTTTATATCTCAATTTGACTTCTATATGTAAGTATATCATTGGTATTATAGTATCTTATTGTTTTTACTGCGGTGCAACCTAATTTGACCTTTTTATGTGTTGTTGTTTGTCTGAGGCAGTGGCGGCTCTAGACTTTGCGAGGCCTTAGGTGAAACTCAAACGTGAGGCCCCCACTAACACCA